GATTCAGGTGCATTACTGTGTAGCCTTAGCCAAGTGGCTTACCTCTTCTGAGGTATCCTGCAAAATGAGGGTATTAGAGAAGCTGGGTATAGTGTGTGTGTGTGTATGTGTTGTGTGTGCGTGTGTGTGTGTGTGTGTGTGTGTGTGTGTGTGTGCGCGTGCATGTACACACTCCAGTCCTGAGGCTTGAACCCAAGGCCTGGATGCTGTCCCTAAGCTTTTGTGCTCAAGGCTAGTGCTCTTCCACTTGAGCCACAACTTCACTTCCAGCTTTTTTAAAAATGGCTAATTGGAGATCAGAGTCTTACAGACTTTTCTGCCTGGGCTGGCTTTGAACCTCAACGCTTAGTTCTCAGGATCACAGAAGACATTGTTAGAGGCAGCTACATTTGTCAACAGAGTTCCTGTGGAGCTCACTTGCCACACTGCACCCTGCTGGCTCTTTGCCCATCTCTCCTGGACTCTCAGACAGTGGGGACCATCTGTTGACTCCTTTGTCCAGCCTGCTCAAATCCCTTCTCTGCAGGAGGTAGGTGCTCAGCTGGTACTGGCTGGCATCAGAATGGTGAAGGATGTCCCACCTGAGTCAGTGTTGGTGTTGTGCTCTGCAGGGCATGGAAACCTTGTATCTCTATTCTAGAGGAGAGGGATGGCTCAAGATGCTTGGGCAGGCTCTGTTGCATGTACTGCCGCACAGGGCTGCTACAGCTCCCAAAGACACCTTATCATGGGCCACGGGGCTGAATTCTAACGCAGAGCTCAGCTCCTGAGTCCCACATGGGTAGATCCAGAAGCAGAGAGCAGTGGAGTATTCTGAACAATCTGGAGGCAGAAGCCCCTCCTGATTCTTGGGGTCCTAAGTTGCTAACCTCCCCACCCAGAGGGGATGATGCTAAGAAGACAGAGATGAGGGAAGAAGGCAACAGGGTGACAGATGCACACTGAGGTCCCCGCTAAAGGTGGACAGTGAGTGGTCCAATTGGTGAGCCGGTAGCCCTGAAAGTATCCATTTCTTTTTCTTTCTTTCCTTCCTTCCTTCTTTCCTTCCTTTCTTCCTTCTTCCTTCCTTCCTTCCTTCCTTTTTTTTTTTTTTGGTCAGTCATGGGGCTTGAACTCTGGGCCTGGGCTCTGTCCTTCAGCTCTTCAGCTCAAGGCAAGCACTCTCCCACTTGAGCCACAGCACCACTTCTGGTTTTCTGAGTGGTTTATTGGAGATAAGAGTCTCACAGTCTTTCCTGCCCAGGCTGGCTTTGAAATGCAATCCTCAGATCTCAGCCTCCTGAGTAGCTAGGATTACAGGTGTGAGCCACCAGTGCTCAGCCTCTTTCTTTCTTCCTTTCTTCCTTTCTTTCTTTCTTTCTTTCTTTCTTTCTTTCTTTCTTTCTTTCTTTCTTTCTTTCTTTCTTTCTTTCTTTCTTTCTTGTTGGTAGTGGGGCTTGAACTCTGGGCTTGAGCACTGTCCCTATGCTCTTCAACTCAAGGCTAGCGCTCTACCACTTGAGCCACAGAGCCACTTGAAGTTTTCTGGTGGTTAATTGGAGATATGAGTTTCATAGACTTTCCTGCCCAGGCTGGCTTTGAACTGTGATCAGATCTCAGCCTCCTGAGTAGCTAGGATTACAGACATGAGCCACTGGCACCCAGCTTCCATTTCTTTTAAGATCAAGGATCTTAGAGCTGGACACTGATGGATCATGGTTCAAAGCCAGCCTGGGCAGGAAAGTCCATGAGAAGGAAGGAAGGAAGGAAGGAAGGAAGGAAGGAAGGAAGGAAGGAAGGAAGGAAGGAAGGAAGGAAGGAAGGAAGGAAGGAAGGAAGGAAGGAAGGAAGGGAAAGAGAGAGAGAAAGTGAAAGAACAAACAAAAGAAAAAAGAGAGAGAGAAAGGGAGAGGGGGAGGGAGAGAAGGAGGAATGGAGGAAAGAGAGAGAAGAAAAGAGAGAAAGAGAGAGAAGAAAAGAAAGAAGAAGAAGAAGAAGAAGGAGGAGGAGGAGGAGGAGGAGGAGGAGGAGGAGGAGGAGGAGGAGGAGGAGGAGGAGGAGGAGGAGGAGGAGGAGGAGGAGGAGAAGGAGAAGGAGAAGGAGAAGGAGAAGGAGAAGAAGAAGAAGAAGAAGAAGAAGAAGAAAGAAAGAAAGAAAGAAAGAAAGAAAGAAAGAAAGAAAGAAAGAAAGAAAGAAAGAAAGAAAGAAAGAAAGAAAAGCCAGAAGTGGAGCTGTGCTAAAAAATGATGGACCTTCTCAAAAGACAGTGTGAAAACACACATATCAGAACAAGAGGCCCAGTGAGAGCTAAAAGGCTGGGCTGGACACAGGCTCCTTTCACAGCTCAGCCACACACCTGAGGCTTTCACATCTGTGTGACTAGGGCTGAGAAAGAAGAGGCTTTCAGTCTCTCCTCCCTCTCTATCAATATGGCTTCTCCCAATATGGCTCAGTTATTGAGGTTTCCATGCCTTCTGTCTACATCCCCTTGGCTCCATCTGCCTGCCGTGCCCTTCCCTTCTTTCCAGTGACCTCTTGTCAGTCAGTATTGACATTCTGCATTCTTCTCCCCTTTCCAGAGAACATCTTCCTCACCTTCTCTTCTGTCCTCTCCCCATCAGTCCCCCTTCCCAAGGACAGGATGGTTATGACTCAGATTCAGGCTCCCAACCCCACTATCTCCACTCATGCTTAGGTGATCTCATCGGCCACATGGCTTGTAACACCAGCTACAAACAACACTCAAATTTTATCTCTGGCCAAGACCTTCTCTGCCTTGAAAACCCATATATCTAGTTGCCTAGTCAGCGTTCCACTCCGATGGCTCAGCCATCCCACACTTTACCCATCAAAAGCAAAAGGCCTGAGCTTCAAGGAGGATTCCCTCCCCACACCGCCACCCTCCCCCCCAGCCTGGGTACCTGGCCTGGGTACCTGGCGAAGCCAAGAACCCTGGGTACCTGAGTACCTGGCCAAGCCTCAAGAGCCCACCCTACTTGTTCCCATCTTCTGTGTTGATCTTCCTTGAGTCCATAGTAAGCCTGTCTTCTGGGTCTTGGGAACATTCAGACTCAGTGGCTTCTTGCTTCTTCCCTGTCATCCCTGCTCCAAGCCGCTACCAACTCTATCTGGGCCTTGCAGCAAACTCTACTTCTCAGTTGCTGCCAACATGAGTGGGCCCTCACAGACTTTCTGACCTCACCTCTTGCCCTCATGAAGCATCAACCCCACTACTTCCTGCCACTTCCTTGCATACCAAAGCACACCCCTGCTCACTGATGGGCTGGATTCAGGTCTCCCATCTAGCCAGAGGTTTTCCTTAATCAGCTGATCACAGAATACCTTACCACAGCCTGCAGCTCAACTCTGTTTATTGGCTCATGTCTCTTCTAAAAGCTAGGTCTTGAAGTCAGGCGCTGGTGGTTCATGCCTGAAATCCTAGCTATTCAGGAGGCTAAGATATGAGTATCATGGTTCAAAGCCAGCCCCACAAGAAAGTCTATGAGACTCTTATCTCTAATTAGCCACTGAAAGAGCTAGAAGTGGAACTGTGGCTCAAGTGGCAGAGTACTAGCCTTGAACAAGAAAGCTCAGGGACAGTGCCCATGCCCTGAGTTCAAGTCTCAGTGCTAGCACAAAAATAAGAATCATCTAATATACAATAGCTTCATTTTTTGGGTTATCTATTGTTTCCATTTCTTCATGGGAACAAATATATCATAAGGGTAGAGTTTTGTTATTGCCCCCAATCTCAACAACCCCCAACACAGAGATGTTTTCAATAAACATTCAGAGAATGAAGAAATTAACACCACACCCTCTTCCCTGAAAGCCACTTCCAGAGCCAGCATGTGACAGACACCTCCTCACTTTCCCAGGGCAGTCATACACACTGCATATAACCTTGAGCACTGCCCCACAGAAGTGGAGCTGGCTCTGAGTCCAGGAGTCTACCTCTAGCACACTGTGCCTGCTTGGGGCAAGGCTGGATTTGTTCTGTCTCTCCAAATCCAGCCTTTAGTTTAGGTCTGACCTAGTACAAGAGTCAGTGAGTGGTGAATGTATTAAGAAATTAGGAAACAGGTGAGTAGATAAACATGGAGGTGAATGGATGGCTGAATGGATAGATGGATGGATTGGATGAATGGTTGGACAGATGAATAGATGAATGGATGAATGGATGAGGGGGCAGATGGGTAGATTAGTAGAGGAGTAGATGGGTGGGTAGATGTATAAATGGGTGGAGGAATAAGTAACTGATAGATGAGTGGATAGATGAACGGACAGATGGATGGATGGATGGGAGAATAGACAGGCCCGATGGATTACATAGATGGACTGGATAGAAGGAAATGGGTAACACATTGGTAGGTGAGTAAACAGCTGGTAAGTGGATGAGTCCCACCACATGCACACAATTAAGACAATAGATAACGGGTTCTCTGGGACGGATCAGTCAGGCCAGTGCAGCGTGGTAAAAGTCAAAGTATAGATGCTTTGTGTATCAAGATTAAGCCAAACTGCCCTAGTATGGCCAGTCTCTGGCAGGCCCATGAGTTCCCCTATGTCTTGGTCTTGGGTCTGAGCATGTAGGTAGAAATTCCTGGGGCAAGGAAGGGGCTTTGGAATTGAAATGCTGCCACAAAGGAGACCTCAGCCATCTCTCTGGAGAAGGACACCTTCAGCCATGTCTGTCTTTGCCTCAAATACCACCTGCCCCTGCTGGCCTCAGAGTCATGTCATGTTACTGCCACAAGGGCTGGACCCTGTGGCCCTACCCTCAAACTGAGCTGGGCTGCTAATATAGCTCAACTCCAAAGAATAACCAGCCCCACTGTTCATGACATTCTCAGACTGGAATGCGCAGAGAACCTGAGTCCCACACCCACTGTAGAGACAGACAAACTGAAGCTCAGAGTATTTTGTGGCAGGCTGATAGCACGAAAGCACTATGGAGAAACTCTGTGTAGATCAGGAATGGCTGGCTCAGCCTGTCAGGCCTTCTGAAGGTCTAGAGTTACCTTTCTAGATCTGCAGCGCAGTGACAGGTGTCTGCTCTTCTAACTTCACACCGCTGGCAGCATTGGTCTAGTACTCACGGGTTCCCTCCTCTTCCTCCTGGCTACACAGGAAAAGACAGACACATGTGAGTAGCCAGGGAGGGACACAGGCAGCTGTCCCTCTCACCCATACTTGTTCTAGTAATCTCAGTTTTCTCTGGGCCACTTAAGCATGCTGCCTGATTCATCAGAGCCCCAAATGTCCATCCCACCCAGCCATACTCTAATAGGCAACTCAGTTCCTCCCAGTGGTAGCTTTATTTTCTTTTTTGTCAGTTGTGGGGCTTGAACTTAGGGCCAGGGAGCTACCGCTGAGCTCTTTGGTGCAAACCTAGTGCTCTACCACTTGATCCACAGTGCTACTTCCAGCTTTCTGGTGGGTACTTGGAGCTAAGAGTCTCATGGACTTTCCTGCCCAGGCTGGCTTTGAACCTCAATCCTCATATCTTAGCCTCCTGAGTAGCTAGGATTACAGGCATGAGCCACCAGCAGCCTGGTTCTTGTTTAGTTATTTGTTTATTTCTTAAATACAGGTCTAGGTAAGTTTTGCTTCTTCTGGAGGTCAGGCGTTTGGGGTTGCCTTTCTTTTCTTTGTGAGAGAAACAGAAAGCCATCATCTTTCTCTGTGGCCCCAGGCAGGGTGACGAGGGAAGCTACTAGGGTATTTTTAGCCAGGCGTACACAGCCCTTGCCTGGTCTTCTCCCTACACCAGGCCTGGCTTCGGGGAATTATCTCACATGGCCGATCCAGCCGCTACTTCCAAAGCCACTCTTTGACCCCTGCTTGAATTCTTTCCTCATTATGAACTGCTCTCCATCTATTGGGCCAACACTTGGAGCCATCAGACCTGTGCACACTGCCCCCAGGAAAATCGACCCCTGCCCTGTCTCATCCTTCTGTGTGCAGGCCTCGGTGAGTTCAGACTGTTAACTTCCTTACAACTGGAAGCTCAGAAACAATTTAAGGCAGAAAAGAGTTCTGACTAATTTACTTTGTGTCTCCCTAACTCCAGACCTTCTCCTGTGTCCTTCACGACTCCTGCTAAAACCAAGTTCTACCTCAGATTATTCCACTGCTATTCACCTTGTTTTGTTTTTCTTAATCTTGGACCCTTGTCTCTTTTTTAATTTCTTTATTGTTATTATAAAGGTGATGTACAAAGGGGTTACAGTTACATAAAGCAAGTAGAGTACATTCTTTTTTGGACAATGTTACCCTTTCCTTTGCTCTTGCCCAGTTTTCCCTCCCATGGTTTTTTTCTTTTTTAATTCTTCTGAGTTCCAATAAGTATGGTTTTGTACAAAGTAATCACAGCTTCAGAATTGGTTTGCTCTGCTAGTTTTAGATTTGTAATATCTTAACAAACATACAACCAATGGCACAAAAATGTATGTTCTGTCCGGTATCATCTACTTCGAGACATTTGTCACAAACTTCTCAAGATTCCTGGATCACGTTTTAGAGAGTTCATTACAGCCCCTTGCTCAGGTGAAAGAGGCAGGGAGGAAGGTTAGGAGGCTGATGGGGCCCAAGCCTCAAGACCAAGGTGAGGAAATCTAAGTCATGGGGTATGAGAAGCTTGTAGAATCATCTTTCCAGTGTTGGCCAGTCTAGCCTAGCCCTGCACTGAACTCCACTGTGAGAACCCAGGTGGGAGATGCAAGGCCTCCTAAAGGTGGAGCATCCTGAAGAAGCACAGGGGTGCAGAACCCTGGAGTTCAAGAAAGCATAGTTTCCAGCATTCCTAGAGGCTCCTGGTTCCCTCTGCTGCTCCGTTCAGCTTCCCGGGTCTGTCTGGTCAGCAGGGGCTAGGTAGAATATTCGATTCTCTAGGCAGATTTGGAGGCACAGAATGTACCTCAAGGGCCCCTACATCCTGTACTTTTGGTCCTTGATCCTGTGGATTGTGGGATAAGGGGTAGGAGGCAACTTTCCCTAGGTCTTCGTATCCTAATATGAGCCTTGAGGACAGGCTCAGATGAGGATGCCGGTGATCTGGAAGCTCTTGGGCTTTGCTGGCACTTTCTGTCCTCTTCTGCTAGTGACCCCACACCCTGCTGCCCGCCACTCCCACCGAGAACAGGATGTAGGCATCCGGAGGTGAGTGTGAGTGTGGGGTCGGGTAGGGAGTGGCCCCCGGACGGGGCTTCCTGAAGCCAGATCGGTTTACCACAGTCAGTTGGGCCCAGGACCGCACAGCTGTGAGTTATAAATGTCCCAGTCAGAGCTGGGGCGAGAGGCCCAGCTGCCAGTGGAGGCCCAGTGCTCACCCCAAGGCCTCCTCCATCTCCTCCAGAGACCATTCTGAGGTGTCCGTCCCTGAGACCCTTAGACTTTCAGCACAGCACCCTCTGAGATGCCTACTATGAGAGGATTCTCATCCTATCTCCCCCTGCCAGTTCCCCCCTCTTCCAGCTACAAACTTGTGATTCCAGAGCCCAAGAATTCAAGAAGGAAAAGCCCATCCCGATCCCTTGCCCAGCAGTAAGTCCTGGACTCGGGACACAGCCAATCACCCTGGTGACAAATTCAGAGGCAATTTTCCAACTCCACATCCTGCTTCCCATTGCCCAACTGCCCTCCAGTGCCCGGCCCTGGGACATACTTAGAAGGGTCACCTGTTCTAGAGCAGTGGGGGTCAGCAGGGCTGGGCACCAGGAAGCTACGTGCCTCCAAGAGAGCCCCCCTAAGGTGTCATCATCCATTGTGTCCCCTAGGCTCAGTTTAGGTATGCAATGTAGATCTCAGAGCAGAGATGCCAGCCTGTACATAGCATGGCAGTCCCCGGGAGAGAAGTTTGGTCCCCTCAACCCTGTGCTAGAACCTGTTCCTGCTGGAGCCACTGAGGTATGCAGCACAGAGCTTCATTTAGGCTCCCAGCTAAGTGTATATAAATTTGACAAACATGTATACCGCCAGGCGCTGGTGGCTCATACCTGAGATCCTAGCTACTCAGGAGGCTGAGATCTGAGAATCGTAATTTGAAGTCAGCCTGGGCAGGAAAATTCATGAGACTCTTATCTCCAGTTAATTAATAAAGGGGGGAGGGAAGCAAAAGAAAAGCCAGAAGTGAAGCTGTAGCTAAAGTGGTAGAGTGTTAGCCTTGAGAGAAAAAAAAAAAAAGCTCAGAAACAGAGCTGCCCAGTCTTTGAGTTCAAGCCCCAGGACTTGCACAAAAAACCAACCAAAATAAATAAATAAATAAATGTACACACACCATTACAAATGCATATTTATAATCAGAAAAGAAATTGTACCAAATTCTTGAAGACAGTGATCAGAACAGCTTTTTCAGGAGGCTGCTTTAAACAATTTAACAAAAAGCGCTGTAACAAAATCCTCCTAACTGCAATCTACCACATCTCCCCATCTAGAACACTACATAGCCCCCAGTGACTCCCAGGCTTCACTGGAAAGTTTCAGGAATTTCTCAGTGGGTTCCCTCTCTAATTGTCCTAACACTGATTAAACTAGCCATGATACCTGACACTAACGGGCCTTCTGCAGTACTGTTCCAAGTACTTCATGTGAATCAATTCATGTAAGATCACCCGTCTTGGAGATAGGGACTGGATTCATTTTGACACATAAAAAGGTTTAGAAACTACCCGGGCCCTCAGTGGCTCACACCTGTAATCCTAACGGACCCAGGAAGCTAAAATCTGAAGATCATAGATCAAAGTCAGTCTGGGCAAAAAAGTCTGTGAGACTCTTAACTCCAATTAAACACTAAAAAGTTGGAAGTGGCTCTGTGGCTCAAGTGGTAAGAGTGCTAGCCTTGAGCACAAATGCACCAGGACAGCACTCAGGAGGCCCCAAGTTCAAGCCTCAGTACAAGGGGAAAAAAAAAAAGTTTAATCAGCCCAAGATCACACAAGTGTGTAAACAGATGGCTTTGCACTGGCATGGCTAGCTGCCCTCCAGTCCCTCTGCTAGCTATTTGGAAAGCTGGGATCATTTTCCCTCCTTGAGAGACTCTAATGGGGCCAGAGGCAGCCAAAGGTGAAAATAAGGACACTCTCATTCATTCATTTATGAGCAGCCCCATTCACCACCCCACAAGTGTTCAGAAGACACTTGCAACCTTGGCCTGTCTCATCCTGCATAGGCATCCTAGATTCCTCTGCAGAGGCAGAAGAAGGCACCACCTGGACTTTCTAAGGCTAGCTGGCACAACTGGGGAGCGGGAGGGGCAAGCACAAGTCCTTGAGCTAAGCTGGTCCCAATGAGGTAGGGAACAGAGTTGCCTAAGGTCATCAGCATGCTGCCCAGCTCCTCATTTCACAGATAGGAAGAGATATGCTGTAGAGAAGTTGATTTCTGGACACGTGGAGCATCTGTGTAGCGTATGAGGCTGGTTTTCTGCAGGGTAGGGCCAGCTACTCACAGGTGTTAGCGGATGGAGGAGGCAGATAGGTACCTTTGTTCTCTCTCTGTCCTCCATCTGTTCCCTGGCCCTCTTGGCTTCCACAGACTGCATGCAGTGCCACCAAAGGGCTAATGATCAGGGGTCCCTGGTGGCAGTGGCACTCATGTGTACACAGCACCAAGGCCACAATGAACACTTTCCCAGGGGTGCTTTGCCTGTGGTTCTCTGTCCTTCCATTTTCCAATGGACAGAGGAGGAGACTGAGTATGGAGAAGCAGTGGAAAGGATAGAACCCTGGCCTTTGCCTTCACAGCTGCCAAAACTTCCAGCTTTCATCTGGAGGTCCAGCCACCTGGCCAGCACAGGTCCTTGTCAAAGCCATTCTCCCTCTACCTGGAGAACCTGCCATCTTCAGACTAGTCAGTAAAGCAGAGCAGGGGTATGTCCAGGAAGTCAGATTTGGCCAGAAGTGAGCAGGTACCCAAAGTTTCCAGGGCCTCCCATTTATACATGATCTTGTACAATGAATGGCTCCCCATAGGGGCGTGTGGGGCTGGGGAAAGGAGAGGGTGGTGCTGTCCAGCGGTGTCTGCCTAGTCCTGGGATGGGACAGGGCAGTGGGGACCTTGTTGGTCCATGTTTTCATGGTCCTTGACTCTCTGATGTGGCCTTCTCTCTTCTAGTATGTTCTA